AGCCATGCAGGATTCAGACTGGAATCATTTAAAACACAATGGGACTACAACCTCCCTGAAAGATTATAGAAAGGCAGCAACATGCAGCAGTGACATTGCGACAACGTCGAGGAGCATCGATTTTAGAATCACGTTACAGCAGTCCTTCAGGCAGACGCGTTTAAAGGATGTGCAGAGCCTCTCCAAGGCCAAAAACGCAATACGCGCTGCATAGAGCACCAGTGTGTATTCTTAGGCGGGATACAGACCCTACCCTCGGAGACGCACGCTGGACCAGAGGTCGTGGGCAGAATGGCCATGCGGCTCGGTACAGCAATATTACACGGATGCCGCGTTGGAAACGGAGCCTCTATTCGCACCTGCCCTGAGGCATGACGAAGCAGCCGCAGTAACAACGATGCCCCCTGAGGCTCCAAAGCCTCTGAAGTGAAGGGCGACGGAGGCGGAGGAGAGGAGAGAAAGAGAGGATAAGGGCGATGCACGCCGCTGGCCTGGCTGGACCCGCGGGCAAGACGCCCAACCAGGCAGTCCAAAACGGATGCCGCGAGGGAGAGAAGGGGCGCTTCCCTCATTTCCGCTGCTGGTAACACGGTGTGGGCATTAGAAAATGAACCATTGGATCAGGGCTTCAGGGTCTACAAAACAGTGGATCCCCAATCGTGGAGTGGCCATGGATACCACAGCCGCCCTCATCAGATCAGAAATCCCCCAAGGTCTGAAGCCTCCTGGGCACGTTCCTTCACGAACACCCCCGCCGTAATCGGGCGCGATGCTAAGCAGCGTCGGTGATACAAATTTCAGTTGTGCCAAGGGCAGGGGTAAGCGCGATGAAGCTGGCACCACATTCTTCAACGAAACCCATGCTCATGAATCTTGATAAAATCAAAAAATCAAAACTGATGCTCACCAGTGCAGGGAGCAACGCAGACAGACGCTGGCACCCCTTCGCTCCTGCCCCCCTCCTTCACCTCCCCGTTCGGAGGCACGCGTGCGCGGGGGCGACCGGGAACAGCCCACCGCACGTGGCCCAAAACGCGCGGCCCAGCTGGGCTGTCCACCTGGCAGGGGGACAGCTCTTGATCGCGACGACGCGGCGCCGCCAAGTAGGGCGCAATGCGCGGTATCTCCTCCTCCTCCTCCTCCTCCTCCTCCTCCTCCTCCTCCTCCTCCTCCTCCTTTTCCTCCTCCAACTCCGAGTTCCCCCCCTCTCTCTCATCCCGAGCCGCTAACACAGTGCAACTGTCAGCCGCACGTTCACTGGGCAGCCAACCTTCGAGCGATGAATGGGTGGAGCTCGGAGTTGGTAATGCGGCGCATCCGGCTCGCCGTCCACCTCCTGACGTTCTCCTCGTAGCCCTGCAGCGCCGACGCCTTGACCTCGAGCACGGTCGCGATGGTGCCAGCTCCAGCAACTCCGGTTAGCCGCGACCCGTTCCACCGGATAAAGAACTCGCGGGCGTCCATTGGGGTGACGAAGTTCACAAACGCGTGCCCCTTATTGGTTCTAGAGTCGAAGTCAGTCGGCTGGTAGACATAGTCGTAGACGTTCGCGAAGCCGGTCTGGTCGATGAGGTCCAGCAGGTCCCTCTGCGTCACAACCATCGGAATGTTCTTGATCATGAGCGAAGTGATGGCTGGAGCTGCAGGGGTGACGGTCGGAACCTCCTCGGTCGGCGCTGGCACTCTGCCCGCGAGCTCACGCTGATAAAGCTCCAGGTTCACCAGGTCGGTCTCCTGCTCGCTGAGTCTCCACCTGATCTCCTGGGCCTGTTGCTGGAGACCTGCTCCCGCTCCAGGAGCGAGGCCCACTGCTCTTCCAGCGCCCTGGCAGCCGCGAGCGTGACTGCCGCCCCCCGCTTGCTGACTGCCCGCCCGCGCCGCGCCCTCGGCTGGCTGACTGCCTCGCCCTCCGCTGGCTGACTGCCTCCGCCCTCCGCTGGCTGACTGCCTCGCCCGCACCGCGCGGCCCGGCTCCGCCTCTGCGTGGGCAGGCCCTGCCAGGCGCGACCAATCGCCGGGGGGGCCCACGGCGACTCCCGCCCCGGCGGCGAAGCGCAGGGGCGTGCTGGGCAGCCTGGTCGGCGAGCGGGCTGGCGCCGCCTCCACGACGCCGTGGAGCAGCGAAGCGCGTCTGGGCTGAGATGGCAGCCGCACCTCGGCAGCCGACTGGGCGCCACCAGCACCCACCCAATGCGAATCCTGTGCGTTTTCGGGTGGGTTGCCGACGTCGGTGTCCACCCGCCAAGCCCAGCATGGGTGGTCGAACCCGTCATCGGTCTGCCATGACTCGTTGTCGCTCTCCTGCCAGGGCGGCAGCGACTGCACTTTGGAAAGTCCCTGCATGGTGACCGCATGCATGGTGGACAGTGAGCACATCCGGGGCAACAACTCATAGGAGCCACCTGAAGACGGGCATGATGAGTGAGAGTCCGCGTTGTTGTAAAATGCGAGAGAGTCACCAATATTCACGGTTGACGCCGACATGGGGTCACACTGACTGGTGCCAGTGCGTAGTCCAGAAAGGCCGCATAAGCCGCCATCGTTGCAAGTGGAATTGTGCATGCCACGCTGGATCGACTGAGATGAACCATACCTCGTTGATGGGTCCATTGTGCAGAGGATACGACTGAAGTCGTAGGCAAGGGGTCGGTGCCGTCTGTCGAAATCAAAACGTCGAACTAGAAGGAACTGGACCTAAAGCCGCCTGAGCCAGAAAGCACACCTTCGCCCCGCCCACTTCTGTACGCCTCCATTTCGCAACGCCAGATGTATGGGTCCTTGGCCAAAAAAGTTGGGGGCGACACCCAAACCGCATGCTGTGGAAAAGTAAATTTTCCCCCCACACAAACAGGAAACCCCGGCCGGCGCAACCGCATTGGCGCAACAACTTGCACCACCGCAGGCCCTTGAAGTGAAACAGCACGGCGGGTTCACTCTGCCCTGTGCAGGAAATATATGTTCGCACCGCGCATGCGATTTTCTGCCATGAACGATGTAAGGATGATATGGGATCGACTAGGAACTGCATGGGGATGGCTTGAGAGTGGTCCGGGGACTGTACTGGACCGAGTAGGAACTGTATGAAGTGGTGTAGAGACTCTGTGGGGATGGTATGCTACCAAATAAAGACTTTGTGAGAAAACTGTGACCAAATGGAAACTGAGTAGGGATTGTATATTACCTTACAGGGTTTGTACAATGATTAAATGGGACAGGTATGTCACCTAACTGAAAAAAAAGCACGGGGACCGTGCGCGACCGACTAAAACCTGTATCGTGATCACATGGGAACTGCTCGTGACAGAATGGGAGCTGTAAAGTGACAAAATCAAACCTGCTAGGAATCGTATGTGACCCCATTGGAACTGTATAGGGATCGTGCATGACCTAAACACTTGCCTACAACAGTATACGTGACCGAATATGAACTCCAGGGGGGTGCAACCTAACAAGATCGATCAGTTACATGATGTCCTTGGAAATTCATACAGGGCCCAATGTGGACTGTGTGGGACCTGTTCGGTCCGTATGAGGACAACCGGAAACGGTGTGTGGGACCTACCAGGAACTGTCTGGGGATGGTGTGTAGATTGCACAAGGCATGCTAAAGATGACGCGTTGGATTGCACAAGGCGTACAATCGTACGGAACCTTGAGAACCCTGCGGTATCCTGAGGCACGCTGGGGAATCCAGGAATCCTGCTGACTCCAGAAAAACCTTGAAGAACCATCAAGAAGCCTGAGCAAACCTGAGGAGTCCTCAGAAGTCCTCATGTGCCGCTCGAATCCTGAAGAGTCCTGCGGAACCTGGGAAATCCTGAGGAACCCCAAGGAGTCCTGAAGAGTCCTGAAGAATCTTACGGGTCCAAGGGAACCGTGCGGAATCCGGAAGAAACCGACGCCTGAGGCACCGAGGAGAATACCGTGGGATCCTGGCGGATTGGAACAATCCTGGGATCCTGGCGGATTGGACCGCTGACGGTCCGCAGGAATCCAAAGGATTCCAGAAGAATCCCCAAGAACCGTGCAGAATCCTGCGAGATCCCGCGGCATTCTGTGGGATCCTGACGAATCCCGAAGAACCCTGAGGAATCCTGAGTAACCGTGCGGAAATCTTTGGACACCTCACGAGTCCCGAGGCATCCGGAGAATCCGGAGAAACCGTGCTGGACGAGAGCGGGAGACATGCGAGGAAGCCACAAACGAGACCCCAACTCCTTAGCAGGGAGAGCGGGACGCCCTGCATTCTTTACCAGAACATCCCAGGCGAGAGCGCGACTGTTGAGTAAACAGCACGGAAGTCACGAACCAGAACGCCATTCGCGAGTAAGGCGGGAGCCTTTGTTGTTGCACTGTGGGGACAACAGCACCGCTTGCGCCTCATTACCCTCCTCAGAATAAATGCGAGCCCAGGGGGGACACGCACTTCAATTGGAAAAGCACAATGCGCACCGGACAAGGGGGCTTAATGATAGTTTTCTTCAGGAGTGAGACCTTGACCATCATCTTAAGAGCGCTCCCACCTAAAGTATCGCTCAATATGTATGCCCCGAACCCTCGACACCAGCCCTCGTTTTTGATAGGCTGCGCCCCCTTTGGAGGGCTTGTTCATTTCGTGCCGGCTGCTGGGTAAAACCGAACACTGTACGCAACGTAGAGCTCAACATGTACACGTCGTTCATTTCTAATCGTGATCACTTCGAAATGTGCTCGTTTCTAATTGTTCCTGGCCCCCTAGTGGCCAGGAAGAAGCCCAGGATAGAACAATTAGAAATGAAAGGATCTTCGCCCCAAAGAAATCAAAGAACTTTCAAATACTTCGAAACGGACAATGTGTATACCCCAAACTTCCGGGCCCCGAACCCTCGACACCAGCCCTCGTGGTTGATGAGCTGCGCCCCCTGTGGAGGGCTTCTTCCAGCTGCTGGGCAGACCCCAACGCGGCAAGGCAATCGGGCCGGGCGCGCGGACCCTCGCGGGGGGTCCGGGCGGGGATCAGCCTGGCGGGCGAAGCGGCCGGGCGGACCCTGGACGGGCGGGACACGGGCGGGCGGGACCTCCTCCTCCTCCTCCTCCTCCTCCTCCTCCTCCTCCTCCTCCTCCTCCTCCTCCTGAAGCGGGCGGGCAAATGTCAAGCGAAGGGACGGGCACGGAGGGCATCACAGTCCACCCGCACAGCAAGGAGGGGCAGCCTTCCCAGGGGCATGCCTGCACCCTTGCGCCCCTCGGTCCAGCCTTGGCCGCCTCCGTGAACCGCGCCCCCGCTCGACAAACTTTTCGAGGTGGGCCGCCGGGGCCCTCGCGTCCTCATCGCGCATCCCTGTGGTGCGGGCCGGCCGTACAGCGGGGGCCCTGCCAGGCAGGACGGGCAGGGGGGCGCCCTGCGGCGGGCGCGTCGGGCTCGGGCGCCCGGGCCCTGGCGGACGGGTCGGGCGGGCGGGCCCCCGGCAGGGCCCTGGCGGACGGCTCGGGCGCCCGGGCCCTGGCGGACGGGTCGGGCGGGCGGACGGGCGGGCCCTCGCGGGCGGGTCAGGCTGGCGGGCACGGACGGGGCGGTCGAGGCGGGCGAGCGGGACACTGCAGTCGAGGCGTTGACCTAAGGCACCCTACATGGGGAAGGAGGCCCCGCTTGTTCCACGAGTTAAACTCTCCCATTTCCCATCGAAAACCTCGGGAACACCTCAGGCGAACTGTAGAATAACTAAGGAGCACTGAGCCCGTCCCAAACGAAAAGGGTTCCTTCTTCAGCGCCCCGACTGTATATAAAGCGAGCAAGCTTCCAGGCAAGGGAACTGAAGCAAATCCAACCAGCAGGTGGGCAAATCCAACCAGCAGGTCGAACGGGCGGGACACTGAAGCAGCCGGGTGCGAGGTATGAATAAGCGGGCGGGCTCCCAAACATGCGAACGAGTGGACCTTAGTTGGCGGGTCGGGCGGGCGGACCTTCACGAAGAAGTTCTGGGCGAGAGTGCAATTCATGAATGGCGGGAGCGCGCTTCCTGAAATGAGGGTTGTGAGAAAGTCCCAAGCGACAGAGTGATTATCCAGTGTCGAGATCGGGAGGCCTGAGTACATCATGAAGATGTCAAAGGGCGAGAGCACGGTGCCTGAGTAAGCTACAAGCACGTATGAAGCGAGAGCGCCATCCCAAAACAAACATATGGAGAACAGAAGCCGGGAGCCTTCGTTGTTGTACTCAATGGGGCCATCAACACAGTTTGAGGCTCAAGACGCGCCTTGAATAAAGCACCAGGTGCGAACGTCAGGGAGGCGCTTCAAGCGAAAGAAACTTTTTTAAAAAGGTCTCCCAGTGAAGGGGGATTCACAAGACCTCATCCCTCACAAACGAGAGCTCCACACCAATCCTTCAAGACAGCTCGTTCTTTGCTCGCGTGGCATTCAACACGCATGCCCCAAGCTCTGGGTACCCTGCCTGACGTCCTCCGCTGCTGTTGTGTCCCCTCTCCCCCGTCTCCTCTCCTTCCGTGCCCTCCCGAAGCGGAAGACAGGACAGCCGAGCGGAAGAAGGCACCGGGGGCGGAGGAGGAGGGAGGAGGAGCAGGAGGAGGAGGCGGAGGAGGAAGGAGGAGCAGGAGGAGAGGAGGAGGAGGAGGAGGAGGAGGAGGGAAGGAGGGAGGGAGGGAGGGAGGGAGGGAAGGACGGAGGGAGGGAGGGAAGGAGGAGGATGAGGAGGAGGAGGAGGAGGAGGAGGAGGCGAGAGGAGGAGGAGAAGGAGGAGGAGGAGGAGGGAGGAGGAGAAGAGCGTGGAAAAGGAGAGGAGGAGAAACAGGATGTGAGGACGAGGACATATAAGAAAAGAAGAAGGATCATGACGGGGAAAGAGAGAGGGAAACAGAGAAGGAGAGAGAGAGAGAGAGACAGAGAACGACGACGAGGACGAAATCGTTGAGGACGACGAAAAGAAAAAAGGGCAGAAGGAGGACGATGACGACGGCGAAGAGGCGGAATTGCGCCTCCGCGCCTCCAAATCCCTTTTGCCCCCTCGAGCTCTAAGGCGCCATTCAAGGGACACGGCCTCATCCGACACTTGGATTGGCGAATTGGAAATGGCTGAACACATTGAAATAGGGATGGGATGGGAGGGAGGGGTAGGATGTCAGACATGATTCGGGTCAGACGAGCAAGGGGGGAACGAAAATGGGGATTGGCGAATCAACTCCAGCGCCGTAGACGCCCATGTATCAAGGAAAACGCCCGGCGGTGAGGCCGAAACCAGCCGCATGCAGCAGATGTCATATAAGCCGAATTTCCATATCCACCTTCTTTCGTCCGACCCCGGCCCGAATTGCGCGAGCGCGTCGATCTTGCCCCTCGCACTCCTCTATCCTCACCTCTCCCATGAATCCTCTTCTCCTTCCTCGCTCCCTCCCCTTCCCCCTCTCCATCCCCCTCCTCCTCCTCCTCCTCCTCCTCCTCCTCCTCCTCCTCCTCGTCGTCTTCCTCCTCCTCCTCGTCCTCGTCCTCCTCATCACCATCACCATCATCATCATCATCATCACCACCACCACCACCACCATCATCATCATCATCATCACCACCACCACCACCATGATCATGATCATGATCATGATCATCATCATCATCATCATCATCATCATCATCATCATCATCATCATCATCATCATCGTCGTCATCATCATCATCATCAGCATCATCATCATCAGCATCATCATCATCATCATCATCATCATCATGTTCATCATCAACATCATCATCAGCATCATCATCATCATCCGCCTCCTCCCCACCGCCTTCTCCTCCTCCTCCTCCCCCTCCTCCGCCTCCTCGTCCGCCGCCTCGCCCGCCGCCTCCTCTTCCTCCTCTTCCTCCGCCTCCTCCTCCGCCGCCTCCTCCTCCTCACCCGCCTCCTCTCTCGCAGCCGCATCTGCGGTCCCTTGTCCGCGCTCGCGCGCGCGGGCGGCCCGGGGCGGCCGGCCGTTCCGCGCGAGCACGGGGCAGCCCGGGACGCCACTGGGGACCGTTGCCGAGTGGAGGGGAGAGAGGGAGGGAGGCCACCCGACCTTTTCAAGATCCTGAAGCCATCGAGGGAAGGAGGAGGTGGAGGAAGCGGCCGGGCCGCAAAAGTGATATCGAACTGCGAACTGCAGCCCTGAACTGAAGTAAATACACTGGTGTCAGCAGCACCGTCGGTCGTAAATTCTCTGGCTTCAGACAGGCCGCTCTCGCCGTAGCTATTGCGGCGGAGTGCCGCGCGCTGGAGCTGGCACGTAGTGCCGTCAAGCCAGCGGACGGTGGCGGACGTCTCGTCCAACTTCTGGACGACGCAATCGTGGCACGTCTTGCCAAGCCTGCCCTGCACTGCGTCGCCGATGGCGAGTGTCACCAGGTCTTCCGTGGGCCTCATAGCTCAGCTGGCGGCCCTTGGGGCCCTGCTTGTGGTCCTCGAGGCCCTGTTCGTGGCCCTGGTAGCTCAGCGCGTGGTCCCAGTAGCTCGGCAGGTGGTCCTCGTAGCCCTGCCGGTGGCTGTCCTTGCCCAACAGGTGGCAAAACTAGTCGCCCTGGTAGCTCTGCGAGAGGCAGCTCGTAATTCTGCTTATGGCTCGGTTCGCTCAAGTTGTAGCCCTCGTAGCGCCGGCCGAAGCCCTCGTAGCTCAGCTAGTGGTATCGGAAATCTGCTTGCGGCCCTTGGAATTCATCTCGTCGCCCAAGTCGTTCCGCAGGAGGCTCTGGTAGGCCTTCCTGCAATAAGCAAAGCTCTGGCTGTGGCCCTCGTAGTTCACCAGGTGGCCCTCGTAGGTCTCGTAGCTGCGCACGTGGTCCTTGTAGCTCAGCTCGCAGTCCTCGTGGCTCTGCCGGTGTCTCTCGTTGTGGCCCTCGTAGGTCCGCAGGTGGCCCGCGTGGCGGAGCTGATGGCTCAAGGAGTTCTGCTTCTGGGCCTTGCAATCCAGCTCGTCGCCATAGTAGTTCTGCATCAGGCTCCTGTAGTTGTTCCTGTAATTCGCGTAGCCCTGGTGTGGCCCTAGTAGCTCAGCAGGTGGCTCTCGTTACTCTAGTAGTTCAGCTCGCGGTCCTCGGAGCCCGCGGTGCTCGAGGCCCTGCCTGTGGCCCTGGCAGCTCAGCGCGTGGCACCAGTGGCTCAGCACGTGTTCATCTTAGCCCTGCTGGTGGCTGACCTTGCTCAGCAGGTGGTCCTTGCAGTTCACCTCGTCGCCCTGGTAATTCTGCGGGAGGTTTTCGCAATTCTGCTTGTAGCCGGCGCAGATCAGGCAGTGGCCCTCGTAGCTCTGTCGGTGGTCCTCGTACTTCAGCTGATGGGTCTCGGATCTCTGCATCTGGTCATTGCCGCTCAGCTCGTCGCCCTAGCCGCTCTGCAGTAGGGTCAGGTATGTCTGTAGGGTCAGGTAGGTCTCCATGTGCTGTGCGCAGCTCTGGCTGCGGCCCTGGAAGCTCAGCAGACGGCCCTCGTAGATCCCATGGGTGTGCCTGTGGTCCTCGTAGCATATCTGGTGCCTCCAGTAGCTCGGCCGGTGGCCCCAGTGGCTCAGCTGGTGGCCCTCGTAGCGCAGCAGGCGGTCCTCGTGTTCAGCTGGTAGTTCGCGGCGTAGCCCTGCTTGTGGCATTCGTGGCTGAGCTCGCGGTCCTCGTCGCTCAACTTGTGGCCCTCTCGGCTCGGCAGGTGGCTCTCGCAGCGCGGCATGTGAGTCATGTAATACTTCTTGTTGCGAATGTTGTAGCTGTGGTTGTGGCTCTTGTAGCTAATCTCATGGCCCTCGTAGCACAGCTTGTGGCTGTCGCCGTTCAGCCGGTGGTTCCGTAGCCCTGCCTCTAATAGCTCAGCTCGCGGTTCTCGTAGCTCCGCCAGTGGCTCTCGTGGCTCTGCTGGCGTGCCTCGTAGCTCGGCACGTGGCACATGAAGTTCCCAGGCGGTCCTCGTACCTGTGCGCGTGGTCCTCGTAGTTCAGCCCGCGGTCCCCGAAGGTCGCGCGGTGGCCCTCGAAGATCTGCTGGTGGCTGTAGCAGTGCACAAGGCACGCTGTCTTCGTAGTCCCTGGGGTCCGAGTCGGAGTCGTCGGCTGCCAAGTCGTACTTTCCTACGTTCTGGATGACCCGTCACTCCTTGCGGTTATCGTAGCGATGCGCGCCGTCATAGTCCTGGGGGTCGTAGGAGTACAAGCCGTCATCGAAATACTGTCGCAATAACATTCGTCGTAGGCGGCGCGACCGTAGTCGTGCTCGTCGTAGGTGGCGCGGTCGTTGTCCACCAGCACCTCCACGACGACGTACTTAATAACCACCCTTTCGGGCTGTTCGGTCGTGTGTTTCCTGGCGTCGGTCTTTGTGGCACATTGGTGCCGTACTTGGGTTGCTTGTTACCCAGCACTTGCTCTGGCTAAACGTTGCGTTGCTCTTCCTCAGACTGCACGTTCCGCAGTTCCCCCCGTCCTGTAGAAGACGCCATGATGAAGGCGGCCGTAGCGATGGTCATGATGTCGTCGAAGTGTGGTTTTGCCAGTGACGGATGAGGTCGCCCGTTCTCTTGAGAGCTGCATGTATTCGAATTTCCCTATGCGAGTAACTAGTCTCGGCATCTTGCCGGGAGTCTCCACCGAAATGGGTGGTTCTCGCAGCCGATGTTGTGGATGTCCAGCTGGTGGTTGGCCAGCTGGTGGATGATCTCCCTCAGCTTCTACTTCGTCAGCTGGTGGGTGAGATTCTACTCGCCAGCTTGTAGTTCGTCAGCTGGTCGCGCGCGCGCCAACGTGGCGGCGGCGCGCTGGGGCCGGCCCCCTCTTGCGCGAGTGGTGAGGTGCGCCCCCCCCGCAGGTGCCAGATGGACCTCCTCCTCCTCCTCCTCCTCCGCCTCCATTCTTTTTTCCTTATCAGAACCTCGTCACTGTCGCACCCCGATGCCGGTTGAAAGGGCGGGGCAGGCGTTTCGCCTGAGACATCCTCACCATCTGCGACCCTGAAGCTTTAGGATTGACGACAGCTTCACAGATGGAGAGCGGGTGGCTTTCAAAATGCGGCTCCCGCTTTAGCGCCGCGAACTCTCGCGAAAAATGCAAGAGCTTCACAAATTGAGAGCGGGTCGTTTTCAAAATGCAGCTCTCACGATGGCACCCTGCACACACGTCTTAAACATGTTAAAGAGCTTCAAGGATTGAGTGCGGGTCGTTTCCAACATGTGCTTCACGGATTGAGGGCCGGTCTTTTTCAACATGTGGCTCTCAACTTAGCGTTGCGCGCATTGGTTTTCTTAAGTTCACAAAAGTTTCACGGATTGAGGGCGGCTCGATTTCAAGATGTGGTTATCGCCTTAGCGCGGCGCACACTCCGTTGAAAAATGCAACCGTTTCACCAATTCTCATGGTTAACGTACCAGCAATGGTGTGGTGGACCGATTCGTGATTGCCAGGGCGCAACAGTGACGTTCATTCGCCGTGATGGAATCACAAGAATATTATTCTAGCACGATCCTGGACCGCCAAGACCTCACAATGAGGTTAGCTGTGGCGCTGAAATATTGAGAAAGGTGTTTGGGCATGCTTCCAGATTTTTACACGGTTGTCCCCAAACGGGGCAGTTCCCTCAGTGGAAATGAACCCTTGTAGGGGCCTCTGAAGAGGGAAAGAGGGTGTATTCCAACATCGCTGATGAGTCTTAGGTTTGCACTGGTCCTCCTCCTCCTCTTCCTCCTCCTCCTCCTCCTCGTCCTCCTCCTCCTCCTCGTCCGCCTCCTCCTCCTCCTCCTCTCCTCCTCCTCCTCCTCCCCCTCCTCTCCTCGCTCCTCCCCTCCTCGTCCTCCTCCTCCTCCTCCTCCTGAGGGCGTCTCCGCCCTCCTCCTCCTCCTCCTACTCCGCTCCTCCTCCTCTCCTCCTCCTCCTCCTCCTCCACTCCCTCCTCCCTCCTCCTCCTCCCCTCCTCCCGCTCTCCTCCTCCTCCTCCTCCGCCCCCCACCCAAGACCACCGCGACGACCACGGCGACGACCACGGCGACGACAACGGCGACGCCACAGCGACGCACCAGCGGCGGCGATGACAAGGACCACTACTACGACTACGACGGCGGCGGTGGAGAAGCCGAGCGGGGCCCGCGGGGCCTCCGCAGGCCGCTGGTGGCCGCCCGCAGCGGGGCGGCGGGGGCCGCCACGCGGGCCCGGGCGGCCCTCGAGAGCAGCAGCATGGCCACGCCCCTCGGGGGTCGGGGCGGAGGGGGGGGGGGGGGGGG